GCGACTGCCAGGCGAGGGGTCTTGGGTTCGATTTCCAGGTCGGGCAAAGTATTACTGGGTTTTAAAAAAAATCTCAGTAGTAGCACGGAGTCTGGAATTGTGCCCGATATATGGCAATAGGCTAACCCCTTATTACATGGGACTCATAAAATAAATAGTGAAAAGTGGGTGTTACATTGTACAGTGACATAATGTGCACCTCTGCCTACCCCTTCGGGGATAAAAGGCGTGATGTTACATTACATTAAAGTAAATGGTCTTTATTGATATTATTGCCACAAATACACCTCCCCACAGTTAATTTCAAATAAATACGACTCTATGTAGCTTTAAATAAAGTCATTATTTCAAATGTAACTTAAAAAAAGATAGTAAGAAAGAAATGCTTTCAATTTGTGTGAAGGATAGAAGATAATATGAAGTAAGTGAAGAGCCTTCTGCTTTCATAAGCCGAGTGGCCCCATTGTTCGACGGCAGTCCGTACCTAATAATGTATGGATGCTTTATGCAATATAAAACGTTTCTTGAACATCGTAAACATAACATAACATTACGCCTCATATATCCCCGAAGGGGTAGAGGCATATGTGCATATTACGACACTTAATGTTATTGTATAATGTAACACCCACTTTTCACTATTTATGTTATAATTCCCATGTGATAAAGGGTGAGCCTATTGTCATATACCGGGTCCAATTCCAGACGCCGTGCTACTGCTGAGATTTATTTTAAATACCCAGTAATTCTTCGCCCGACCCGTGCCTTTAGCCTAACACCACTTTAGCGTTTGTCTACAGAGCGAGTAGAAAAGTAAATGTATGGGGATGACTCTGACAAGTGTCCAAATTTACGTCAATTCCATATAATTTGGTTGTCTATTCTACATGTAGACAAGCGCTAAATGGCATTTGGCTACAGATGCCGGCAATTGAACCCGGCAGTCGCACTTGCGACCACTTGGCCAACGAGGCAGTCTATCATAGGTAACTTCAAATAAACATCAGTTCGTCCATCAATCAAAAAGTAACGCAATATTAAACTTACATAATAGAACAAAGAATAAAATTCCTTTCCTACATCCCATTTTGTAATAACATGTTTCCCGGATCAAATTCCGGACTCTGGACCTCTCTATACCCGAGTATAAATCCGGGACATCACTCGGAAGTCATGAACACTATCAGCTCTCGATGTTGTGTTGTTGGTCCAATTAGGGAGGTTATCGATTAGGTGGTTTTGAAGGTACACGAGCGAACAGGGGGCTTACTCTTGAATCCAATTCCGATCGATCGACATTGGTATTGTGAAATGTCGTACTCTTGAGTTGCAACACTAGCGCCCATTGCATCCGTATTACGTGAATATTTAACCCTTTGAGTACCGTCATTATAGACACAATTAAAGAACAATAGGTTGCGGTCACCGGTGTCGTCCCGATGTTTGACAGTTTTATGAACTAAATGGTATTGACTTTGGCTTTATATTCCGTAGCCTGAGTGCTATTTTAACAGCTACGATAGGGGTTGTAGGTATATTTTTGAGATTGAATAATTATTGAGATTTTATTGGATTGAAATTGCATTGACATTGAGATCGGTTTCGAGAGTAAGCACCCAGGTCTAATGCGGCAATGGTCTTACTGTATTATTGGGTGGTTTATAGTTAGGTGAATAGGCAGGTGGGGGTTTATTCTATAGTTTTGGATTTTGATGTTTATTTAGAGTGTATTAGAACCTGATTGCTTCGTTGGCCGAGTGGTCGCAAGTACGACTGCCAGGCAAAGGGGTCTCGGGTTCGATTCCCGGGTCGGACAAAATATTAGTGGGTTTTTAAAAATCTCAGTAGTAGCACGGAGTCTAGAAATGTGCCCGGTATATGGAAATAGGCTCACCCCCTATTACATGGGACTCATAACGTAAAAATGGTGAAAAGTGGGGGTTATATTGTACAGTGGCATTAAGTGCCGAAATGTGCATCTCTGCCTACCCCTTCGGGGATAAAAAGGCGTGATGTTATGTTATTAGAACCTTTGTGTTTGATTCGGCAATGAAAGTAGATAGTATTTTTAAACTGTCAAACACCAAGCGGTCACCGGTGACCGCAACCTATTGTTCTATAATTGTGTCTATATTGACGGTACTCGACGAGTTAATTGACTTCAAACAAAGAAGGAGGTTCGCAGTTTGCCTTGTCATGTAATTATGTATGTATGGTTGTGCGTAATAATCTCGCGATTGGCTGCTCTGTATTTAATGCGATTTTTAGAAAAGTTGTTGTTTTACTTAGGAAATGGTTTTTGTATGTTAATTAACCGAATTAGGAGTTGAAGTCGGTTTTGTAAATGCAGTTTATAAAATAATTATTTATGTAAGGAAATAATCCTACTTCGATGAACATTTTTTAATATTGCTAATTAGAACTCAAACTCTCAATAGGGATGATGACGGGGTATGAAAATTAAAAATGTAATTAGTCCGTTGGTTCGATAATGAAAAACTATTAGACACGTATTTATATAATTATGTATTATTTTGTCATATAAGGTTACAATACTTAGATGCAACGAATCGAAGTTTAGGAGTGGGAGCTAAAACGTCATTTCTACGTATAAAACGTACCTAGAAGTGACGTCATGCGGTATTTCAAATCAATGTATCATCGACACTAATTGTTTCTATAAGAAAATAATAAATAGTCAAAGTTAAAATCATTTATTTCAATTAGACCAGGAAGGTAATTTAATGAACGAAAACAAAAAAAAATAAAAGGGAAACTTGCTCATTCCAAGGTGTAGATTTCTATGGGGAAGAACGAGCAAGAAACTCCAATACTGGTCTAATGTTGTATAATAATCTACCAGACAGACACAAAACTAATAATCAGTTATCTACCCCATTCACTCTGCACATTTAATAAGTAGGACCTCTTATTTTGTACAGAAAGAAAAGAAAAGCTTTAAGAATATAAGAGGTACTTGCGAACGTAATCCTGTTCCACAAGACAGTTTTAGCACCTTCCTCAACCTAGGCATAAAATGTTCAACTCTCAGAACCATTCGATAGACGATCCATCCAAAAATATCAAGCAAAAAAGATGGCATAAACCGTTTTGCACGAAGATACTTCCTTTTCCCATAATGAACTATCGATTCTGTACTCCGCTCGTTTCATCTTATTTCCATCCAAACCTAATGACTTGGGTGCTCTGAAATACGCACTCAAATCTCCCTATTACGATACGATATAGTATAACCATCAAGAATAAGTTGTTTCAGGTATATTATGGTATGCTTTTATGGTAACTGCTTTGGGAATATGGCCTCTATTTTGTTGTGGTATGGTCTGGTTTTGAAAGGTTTGGCCTAGGCGTAGTTGATTTCGATAGAATTTTTCTTTCGATAGAAGTCTTCGATGTCTAGTCTCAAATAATGATTGTTTTATTAACTTGAGTCGTAAAATGATGATGATGCATTGGTTCTTATAGTAATTGCTTCCTTCCTACAACAACAACACAACAATCACAGCCTATAGTGGCCACTGCGGACCAAAGGCACCACGGAGTAGGTTTAAGCATCAATCACCAGGTTTTCTCAATGCGGGTTGGCGGTTTGAAAGTTATAGGTAATTAGAAATTATAAGCCCAGGTTTCCTCACGTTGTCTTCGTTTGTCAGTGGTGTCTAAATAATCTTAGAAAGTATATATAACTCGGAAAAAGTCGCCTTCTCAGCTTCCTTTCTGTTAGGTTCGAATTCTGAATTGGTATTATAAGTTATCAGTATAATCTAATTAAGAGTGTAGAATAGGATCACGGGATTAGGTGTGGGAGAGCCATGCTTCGGCACAAATGGGCCGGCTCGACCGGAGTGATACCTCATAGAAAACCGTGAAGCAACACTTGCGTTGAATTTCATCGTGTGAGTGAGGTTACCGGAGGCCCAATTACCTCCTCTCCAATCTTCACAGTCCCCGAATCCACAACAATCCTCAAATTCTTAATCCTCAAAAGGCCTGCAGGCTGCAACACCTCTGGTGTTTTGGATGTCTATGGGCGGCGGCGATTGCTTACCATCAGGTGATCTGTCTGCTCGTTTATTGGCTTATAAAAAAGGTACATGGGTACACATAAAACTGGTGAAAAAGGGGTTTCACAACGATGTGAAACCCGTACCGATGTTACGTAAAACCAAAGGTACCTACCTCTGGTTTTACGTAACCTCACCAGCATTCTGTGACAAAATCAAACCACATTTTTTGTTCTTCAACTCGGGAACAATATTCTACGATAAAAGTGCCGTATCCTTATGATGTTATTAGAATAACAGGCGACAATAATGGCGCATGGCGTCCTGTCGACAACTTCACGTGAGAAGCGATTACAGGCGGTCGTACAAATAAAAAACTTCATGCTTTTTTTTTCGAAAGAAATACTCGTAAAGGTTCTGGAGTATAAACTTGCGAAGAAATAGAGGATTTGCTTATCTTCTTAAATTTATTGAGTCATCAGTATATATTGAGTAATATTGTATATGTATCAGAGACATTGTAGAACATACTTTTTTAAAAGAGTAACGAATGGAGTTTCTTGCTCGTTCTTCTCCATTCGAATCTACGTTTTGGAATGAGCACCTAGCTTCACCTAGCTTCACTGACGGACTGACTGACAGACTATTATTTATTTTGTATTTGTTGACGTTTCAAAAGTACCAAACTATGGTTTAATTGAAATAAATGCTTTGACTTTGACTTTGAATTGAGTATGCAGTTTGTGATAGTCCCCTGCTAGACTATGAACCTCCTCTACATCGACGTAAGAGGGGTTTGAGAAATGAGAAGTACCAATTTCGACAAAACAAAGTATAACACTATATTTAATATCCTCAGTGTAATATTAACACCATTACTCATATAAAACATAGCTCAAATACGAAATCAAATAAAGTTATTTTAAGAAAAAACAAAACAACAATAATGTGAAATAAAGTGCCAAAAACACTAAAATGTTGAACGGAACGACGGAAAGGGGCGGCTTGTCCTTACAATCGTCACCAGTGAAGGTGTCGACGTCCCCAGTTCGAGCCACTTCGAGCCCGGTTCGGGCGCCCCCATCCCCGCTTAAGTCTTCTCTCGCTAGTGGGAGGAGATCTCCAAGAAGGTGTCAGTTTGCGGCTCCTGTTGAAGATGCGAGGGATAAATGTGGAGCTTCATGGTTATGTCGAAGAGGGGCCGGGATTGGCGAGGAGTCGGACCCTGAAAGGTCGCCAGGACCAAGTGCTCCTGTGCTGCAGGCTTGTGACGAGTCCGTACCGCCACCGAAGAACTGCTACAGACTAGTTATGTTAGGGTAAGTGGTTTACTTTATTGATTTATTCTATGGACTATACGCAAAATGTTTTAACATTTTTATTTATACTTGAATACAAAATACACCATAATAAGACTAGAATAAGAATTAAAAAGAAGAAAATAATACATTAACATGCTATAAAAACATAATTTCATATCACACGGTTTTTAATCTTGTATACCACAAACAGCGAGCTCTAGAAACCGTTATATTGTTAAGAATAATGATACCAAGAATTGAGTGAGTTTCACTCGCCACTAGACCAAGGATGCACTTAAAACGATATCGATACAGAATATCGAGAAAATTACATAATCGATTCACATCCTAACTCCAGCCTTCAGCAAATTGCTGAAGAACACTAGATCGGATCGGTTAGTTAACCTTCATACTAAATCGATTCTATCCGACAAATGTGGAGGGCGATTCCGATGTACAGACGGCTGCAAATCAAGCAATAATAAACCAGCTTATCACGACCTCGCTTTCTATAATCTTTCCGGACATTCAAAGGTCAGTTTATATTGGTATTTTATAACTTGTACGTACAATTGAGGACCGTAGGATCCGATCGTCCTGATTATTGGATTGTAGAATATCCCTGTTGGTACGGAATTTTACTTAATACCTGTGTGTCGCCGTATTTCGGAGACAAGGGTCCGTATGAAGGTACTATCAAACGTGCGTAGGAGTTTTGAGCACCTCTTTTGCTGGTCTTATTTTATTTTATCGGATTATCGAGAGTTTGTCCGATTATATCTCCGAATTTATTACTAATTTATTCTGATCTAAACATTGCTTTTTGGCTAAAGGGTAGCAAGATTTCTAATCGCGATATCGGTAGCGGTTCAACTTTTGGGTCTAGATTTTTTGTAATTTTCGATTTCAAACCCTAATTTCCATAGCCTTATGGACTCGTTTTAAGTAGCGTTGCTGACCAGAAGGTCCCAGTTAAATTCTTCAATATTCCTTTCAAAATCCACTAGGTACTCCGTTCCATTTGAACACGATTTTAAAAATACCATTATAACAGTTCTCATTATTAAACCATCAGCTTGTAAGCACAAATACCAACCTTATTCCAATCGGATTAAAATACATTTTCAGTGAATACCGTGACTTACACAGAAGATTAATGTATCGAGAATTATATGTAGTATTTCAATCAGTTTGTTTCGGTTTTATACCTTGTAACAAATCATGTTTACGAGAGAATTGTGGCGTGTACAACATTAGGGTAAAACGGATTACGATTTGTGATAAATCGGGATGTATTGAGCACTTATTTTGGAATTAATTAAAAAATCGGTTGTTTTAAGTTTCGAATTTATAGATTTTAGAGGAGTAAATGTTTATATTATTATGAACTATACTAGACTGTCTCATTGATCTTGGGTATTCTCGTTTATCTTGAGTTAGTATTGCTCTCTAGAAGTAGAAGTAAGAAATCGTAGGTTCCGTTTTCGGTTAAGCAAACGAGACGATTTTTTGTCTGTATTTGTGCCTATTATATTATATAGATATATTAAATGACAACAGGTACACCCCTATAACATAAAACTACCTACCAATTCGGTGATTAAAAATGTAACGTTTTATATGAATTCTTTATATAATTTCTGCATTCGTATTAAAGCTGTTAAATAATCCTAATATGATCTTAACCGACGAGCATTCATGAAAAGACTAATGACGGTTTATGAAGCGAAAGAGGTTTGTAGGAATCGTAGCAATTGGCGTTCCATAGTCTCTGCTTACCCCCATGGGATCCCTAGATGAGACCTCCTATGAGAGCCCGGCACGTCGCGCCTCATAGAGCAATCAGACCACCATGTATGGGGCTGATGCCGATACGGAACCGCGGAGAACCTAACTGGTTACCGGGGCTCCGGCTCGAAGGGCAGGAGTAGGAACAGGGTGGTTTTTAGTCAGTAAAAGACCCTCCCTCCCGCCTCGCTCAGGCGGGAGAAGCCATTCGATGATTTTCCCCCCTTAAAAAAAACCCATGGTAGACAGGCGTGAAGTTATGTATGTATGACGTTCAATCGGTGCTACTTCTCATAATAAACCTATACCTACTTTAAAAAACGTCTCAACACGTTTCATATCGGATCCTGGACCAACAAATTCCATAAAGGTCACCGTTTCAATTATATCTCGTCCCGATATGAAAATAATGCGATTGAATTTATTCTATCGAGACATTTTCAATCCTTTTAGACTTTAGCTGCTTAGTGATGTGAAATAATCTTTAAATTCAATTATTATTTCTTTATATTGATTTTACAGTGTTATTGGGATTATGTAAGCCGACATAATAGGGATGATGACAGGGTATGAAAATTAAAAATCTCATTAGTCCGCCAGTTACACTATGTAGAAATATTAGACACGTATTTTTTTTATTTTGTCGTATAATAAAACAATACTTAGATAAAACGAATCAAAGTTTAGGAGTTCACTGACTACGGTTAACCTACTGCTACATACTGGACAGGATCCTAAAGATGCGTCCACATGTGGCTGTGCATTTAAAATTATTATTTAAACGAACCTTATATGAGTTGAGTAGCAACCATTGCCGTGACTGCACGCGCGCTGCTCGCGAGCTGCACATTCACGGAGCATTCCCTAGATGTGGACGCACCCTTACAGACTTCGTGCTACTGAAAATGTTTAAATATCAAAGAAGGCAAACACCAGAACAATCGTTCGGCAGTCGGTCTTGCAAATCACTTGAGCAACGAGGTAGAGACATGAGTATTCAAATTCTACAGTACAATTCACGGTAAATGCGAATGGTTTTATCGCGCCGTAGACTATTTAAGTACAATAACATAAAATTACGTCTTTTATCCCCGAAGGGGTAAACAGAGGTGCACATTACCTACGGTACGTAATGCCACTGAACAATGTAACACTGACTTTTCACTATTTATGTTATACGTCCCATGTAATAGGGGGTGAGCCTATTGCCATACACCGGGCATATAACTCTAGACTCCGTGCGGACTGACTGAGAGAACTTTTTTAAACCTAGTAATATTTTGGCCGGTCCCGGAATTGACCCCTTGCCTGGCAGTCGCATTTGAGACCACTCGACTAACGAGGCAGTCTACTTAAGTATTTTTTTATTAATAACGACTAGGTTCTGCCCGCGACTTCGTACGCGCAATCTCGTCTTCTCCCGTTCCCGTAAGATTTTTAGGATTTTTTTCTGTCATAAGAACCTCCTGACAATAACAAACACAATAAAAAAATCTGCCAAATCAGGCTAGCCGTTCTCAAGTTATGGCGTGACAACGGGAAACTGGTTTAATTTTTATATATATAGATTAATTATACACCAATCTTAAATAGGTAAGTAAAACTTCATGGAACCTTCGATAAAGACGTGTCAATTTCATTCGCTGTAAAATGAAAATTATCTGTTCATTTAGACGCTCGGCATGCTCCTGAAGGCTCGATAAATACGCTCTGTTGAAGGTTATAGACAAATTGTTTACTTACCTGGGCGACGCTCAATACATTAATAGGATCTCAAAGGAAGTAGTCTTCGAGTTGAATGCCGGAATGGAGTCTGTAGTCCTAGGAATCTTGACATTTCTTTTGATGTTTGGGATTTGCTAATCAATTAGATTGACTCTGCTTGCAAAATGTTAAGTTTCATCATCAACAGCCTATAAATGCCCACTGTTGAGCAAAGGCCTCTTCTCACACGGAGAAGGTTTGAGCATTAATCACCACGCTTGCTCAATACGGATTGGCGATTACAAATTTATAATTAGAAATTGTAAGCCCAGGTTTCCTCACGATGTTTTCCTTCACCGTATGCCAGTGGTGTCTAGATAATCTTAGAAAGTACATATAACTTGGAAAAAGTCGCATTGGTACTGCTGTTGGTAAATTTCGACCCGTACCCTCATGCATGAGAAGCGGGCGCGTCTTAAACCTCGGGGCCACCACGACATTCAACATTCAACACGACATGTTAAGTTTAAACATAAGTTATTGTAGAAATTCTAGAAATCTTTACCTGAATGCTAGCAATTCCTCTCATCTGGTCTTATGATACTTTATTAGGTGATCGGTTAGCTCGATTCTAACTTATCAGACAAAAATTGTGGGTCATGTTTAGGCACGAATGGGCCGGTTCGACCGGAGTGATATCACAGCCTCACAGAAAACTGATGTGAAACAACAAACAGCTTGCGTTGCGTTTCGTCGTGTGAGTGAGGTTCAGGTTAAGATCCATTCCGTAAGTGCAGGTCTGCGGTAGGTGAGCAAGGGTAGCTCACCGCCCGACCGTGTTCCGGGTGTGCATGGGCGACGCTGATTGTAACGCCTCTGGTGTTCCAGGTGTGCATGGGCGACACCGATTGCTGGTTTATCGGGTTATCCCATAAAAAATGCAATCAAAATCATGTCGAAGAGATTATTTCTGCGGAAAAATATCTGACAAAATCTCACTTTACCTTGGAACTGAAGCCGAGAGAGCACTTGCTCAAGATTGTCAGTTGCAACTACCTAATCAACGAGGTAGTCATGCATTATCCACCTAACCTATCAATGAACATAGAAACACTAACTCTAGTTAAAATTAAACACTCTAACTTGAACTTTAACACACCAACTGATAATAACACACGTTTCGTCTAACCTTGCGCAGATATTGCTATGCACCAATAAATCGTTTCGCGCGACGTGTTCCGAATTGTATAATTAAATAGATCGGACTAACTTACCTGTGACGTCCGATCCTCAATTGTGTAGGTAGCGTCATCCTCGCTAATTATACTAGTAGTAGGCACTAATCTGGGCACGCTGTCACAATATTTAAAGATGAACACATTCATAAAAAAATATTTATACTCTATGGTCATCTCACTGGCAACATCATTTACTTCAAAGCACCTGCAACTGCAACACAACTCGACCAGGGGTAAAAATAAACATGTTTATTATCCGGGAAGGGTTGGGACCTAGCGAGGATGACG